AGCTAAGAGCCACAGCCCACTCCACTCCAAATCTACAGCTCACCCAGACATGGGTCTGTTTTACCCGAAACCATGGTGGCCCTTCAACCTCCCCAGACCTCAATCCTCCCCAGCTGTCGCCCACCACTGTCAGCCACAGACCTCTCCTGTCACCCAGGAGACCTACAGCTCCCCCGACTCAGAAGTCAGCCTAACAAACCTCCTCCTACTCACCCCAACCCCAGTGAGCCTCAAGGCTCCCCCAGACCACTATCCTCTCCAGCTGTCCCCACCACTGACAGCCACAAACCGCTTCTCCTGCCACCCTGAAACCTTCTCATCCAAGACATGAAAAATCCTTTCATCTCAAATCATGGAGCTTGTCACAGCTCCCCCAGACCTTCATCCTCCTCAGCTACCCACAGCCGCTGCTGATGCTTGCTTCCCAGGCTCGCCTCTTGGTGAAGTCAGTGCACAGAGCAGCCTCCAGAAGAGTCCCCTGTGCCTCCAGTCCTGCTGCCCCCCCTTCCTGCAGTGTGGACACTGTCATCTGACCGATATGGCCTCCATGGGGTTTCGCTGGTCTCAGTAGAACCTACACCCCAAGCAGAATCACCCTGTCCTAGCACCGTGTTCCCGAGCCCATCACCGCTACACCACCCACTCCAGGCCTCTGTCCTGAAACAGCCCTGCCCCACCATGCCATCTGCTACTTCCTCTCCGTCCCCCCACTCCCCACCACTGCCCTATGACCTCGTGCACAACTAGACCCCCACCCCAACTGCTACCCCCTCCTTATCACCCCCCACTCCCCGACTCTTCTCAACTCTCCATTACTCTTACGGTCCCCTGCCCCCACCCCTGCTCACACTCCTCCACCACCCTCTCCTTCCTCACAGACCCCATGGAAGAGTCCTCCTCCTGTCCTACCCTCTCCTGGCTTCAGGGGGACAAACTTTGCTGAAGCTTGACACTGGGAGTCCCTCTGTAGGAGCAACCCCTCTCTAACCCTCAGCAGCCCCAGGTGGAAGTCCCTTTAGGTCCTCTGATGGGCTGGGATGTAAAGTTGAGGGTAGAGAGGGAAGGAGGGAGGCCAGACCACAGCATGTGAACGGGGCTACTTCCCAGAGGCCGTGGAGGTCTGGTGCCAGGAGGTCCCTCCTCGCCAGTTTGTCTCTATGCCCTGACAACCCGAGACTTCTGAGCAAAGACCAGGATGACCTTTGGCTTCTCTACAAGCTGGGAAATTATGGACAGTGAAGTGTCCTGGGACCCGGCAAGGCCTATGGGTGTGACCTGTCCCCTCCACAGCCTGGGACGACCCCACCTGCACCGACGGAGTGGTGTCGGTGTCACAGGGCGAGCGAGCGGTGCTCACCTGCATCATTGCCAACAGCTTCACCCACGTGAATGTCTCCCAGTGCAGCAGCCAGGACAACTGCCAGCAGATTCTCAGTGTGGAGGC